TAGTTCATTTTCAGTAAGGTCCCTGACATTACCTCCGTTAATTTTATCTGACGTGGTACATCGACACCGTTAAACCGTATTGCCTCACATTACAATGGGAAGGAAACTACTTCCTAGAAAACAAATGAAAATATAAGAAGTCACATTCACCCCAATAGGAAGAGGAAGCGAACAGTTCCTTTGGCTGGGTATTGTCTTTACTATTAAGCGAATTCATTTGGTTGTGAATACAAGATTTATTTACAAGGTAATTTAAGGCTGTAATCGATCCCGGTTGTGATCAAGCTCAAAGCTCAGTTCAACTCTCACTTCTAAAATTCCAACTGCCAAATCTCAAATCAACAATGACCGAACGAATTTCTGTTTTTTAGCTGAACCCGAGTAGCTTGTGAACACACGACAAGTGTCTTGTTTACCCACTTATTTTCTATGTATTTATTTTGTGGTTTTAAATCTAGAGATGATAATGTAAAATGAACTATGAAAGATGGTTGATGTGTTGTTTTGTTAATGTTTCCAGACCTTATTGAAATATTAAAGTTATGCTGAGTCGGTTGTTTATTTCAGGTCCTTGAGAAGCTACATAGAGAGAGATGGAGTCCTGAGGATGGAGTTGGCAGCATCATAATATCTCCCACAAGGGAACTAGCTGGTCAGCTTTTTGATGTATTAAAAACTGTTGTCAAATATCATACTTTTAGCGCTGGCCTTCTAATTGGTGGTCGCAAGGAAGTTGATGTTGAGAAAGAGCGGGTAAATGAGTTGAATATTCTAATTTGTACTCCTGGACGTCTTCTTCAGCACATGGACAAGACTCCAAATTTTGATTGTTCTCAGCTTCAGGTCAACAACGCAACATAATGTATTCTTCATTTGCTTTATTTTTAATCGTTTGTGTCTGCTTTTCTTGTTTGACGTGTTCTACTGCTCTGTTAGCTTTTGATTTGGGTAGTGGTTTCTGCCAGTGAACAGGTTTTGGTCCTTGATGAGGCTGATCGTATTCTTGACATTGGTTTTAAGAAGACGTTAAATGCAATTGTATCACAGCTGCCAAAGAATAGACAAACATTGCTTTTCTCAGCAATCCAAACAAAGTCCGTTCAGGATCTTGCAAGGCTCAGCTTGAAAGACCCATAGCATATCAGTGTGCATGAGAAAGCTGTTTCAGCCACACCCAATCGCTTGCAGCAAACTGCAATGATCGTTCCGCTTGAGAAAAAAGTTGGACATGCTGTGGAGTTTCAAAAAGGCACATCTCAAATCAGAGATTCTGGTATTTCTTTCAAGCTGTAAAGAGGTATATTTGCATTATTTATGTTAACATATTCCGTTTAAAGGATTTATAGTCAGGAGTCGAGACACATGTGATTTAGCTGGGTTTTTATTAGTAATTTCAACAAATTTCTGGCTATCTTGGTTGGAATTTGATATCTTTTTTTTGGATCTCATTAAGTTCATGTAGAATTTAGTAGCATTGCATAGAAAACAAGCAACTTCTCTGCCTTACCCCTTTCCCTTTCTCATTAAGTCTTTATGATTGCATGACTGGTCTTTTGTTTTCAGTGTTCGTTTTCTTCTTTTTTGTCATCCTTGGGAGTTATGAAAATGTGAAATATGTTGGATCATAGGTTCATTTGTCTTTGAAGCATTCAGGAAACTACGTCCTGGAATACCCTTGAAGTGCCTTCATGGAAGGATGAACCAAGAGAAAGACTGGGTATATTCCCAATTCTGTGAGTCCCGTTCAGTTCTCTTCTCAACTGATGTGGCATCAAGAGGCATTGATTTTAACAAGGCAGTTGACTGGTTTGTGCAGGTAAAATATTTGTTCAAGGGAAAAAATTTTAAAAAAAAATAGTAGAAGCAATTTTTATTTCATTATCTCAAATTCTCAATGAGATACTTCTCGTCTTTAAAGGTGGATTGTCCGGAAGATGTTGCATCCTATACACACCGAGTTGGTCGCACTGCTTGTTACCTTTCCCGAGGAAGATCAGTTTTATTTCTGATGCCTTCAGAAATGAAGATGCTCGAGAAGTTACAGGCAGCAAAAGTACCTATACAGTTTATTAAGGTAGATTCATCTCGATGTTCTTTCTTCCTTTTCTGAATTATGTCCTGATATCTGGGACGTGTATGTTAACCTCACTATTATGATACTGATTTCCCAGGCAAATACAAAGAGGTTAGAACCTGTTTCTAGATTATTGTCGGCTTTACTTGTTAAATATTCAAATATGCAGCATCTGGCGCAGAGAGCATTTATCACATATTTGCGGTCTATTTATATTCAAAAGGATAAAGAGATCTTTGATGTGATGAAATTGCCTATTGATGATTATTCAGCAGCGCTTGGTTTACCAATGACTCCCCAAAGTCAGGTTTTTTAATCAGAAAAGGAAAGACAAAATTGAGTCAGAAAAATCCACTTTTATTGAATACATTTGACGAGGAAAATGAGTCACCTATTGCAAAGGAAGAGCTACTTGTTGAAGATGTCAAAGACAACAAAGTGGACAAGGATTTCCTTCAGAAGGATACACCAGACCTTGGAGAAGGGAACGCTAGTGAGATCGGAGATATCATGTATGCCCCTCATTTATACTCTTACATAGAAAGCTACAATAAAGATGACCTTGCTATAATGGGGAAAATTTTATGTACAAGCTAGTTGGTTGAATGGTAAATTCTTTTGATATAGCTTTTTTTTCTCATAGGGTCACCTGGTTAGGTGGTAACTTGCTGAGATTCTTCTTGTCCGCTTTTACTTCTGGAATGAGTAGAGCAGTTTACATCAGTCAATTGTTTACTTCTGGAAACCAGTTTTTGAGTTGGGTTTCTTTTCTTTAGGCCGGCAAACCCGGGTTTTGAAGAAAAAGAAGCTGAAGATCAATGTTCATAGGCTTGTGGGGACAAGGGTCGTCTTTGATGAGGAAGGCAACACACAGGATCCACTTGCCATGTTGGCAGAGAAGACTAACGGCGAGATACAACTTGACCAAGGTATTACATTATCGCTTCTGTTTACTGAAGGTTACACTTTATAGGCTTATTTTGCTCCGACCTTTTCTTGAAATACACGAGTTCTATACCTATGTTTGACACATAGTTCGATATGGGCATGGAAATATGATTTTATATAGATTTTATTTTTGAAAATTTGGTACATATTTGTGTCAAACACACCTGTATTCGACATTCACAATGAAGTTGGAGTAATATAGTTTATGGGCTACTCTTCTGCAACTTTTAATGTAATAAGCAGAAAACTTAATTTTGCCATGCAAAATTTGATGCTACTTTTTATAAATAGTGGTTCATCCCCTGGCATAAAGAGATGATCAAATGGTGGACTGCTTTATGTGCTTTGGTGTTGAATAGAATGCTTGCTTCTTCATATTCATTTAACTCATGTTTTCCATGTTGCAGACAAAAAGAAGAGTACTACAAGAAAATGAGGGAAGAGCTGAAGCAGGTGGACATGGAAGACAAGCTTCTAGAGAGGCAACGGCTTAGGGAGAAACGGATAAAGAAAAAGATGGAGTTGAAGAAAGGGCAAAGGGATGATGAGGATGAGGATGGGGATGATATTTCAGGTTCAGAAGGAGAACCAGAAGCAAACGATAAACGGAAAAGGTCCAAAATATACTTCCATAGTGATATTGATGGCGAAATGGAAGAAAATAAGGATTCTGCAGGCATCAACGCTGATTCCATTTCTCTGGCAGAACAAGAACTTGATCTCAAGTTATTCTACTCGATGCACTCATAAAATTTATGAAATACCATATGATTCTCCTTTTTGACTTTGTATTAGTTTATCCCCAGCATTACATAGCCGACCCTTTTTCGTTCACTTTCAACGGTATATCCAGTTCTGTCGTGTATTGTATACTACTGGTTTACCATGTCAGTTTTTTATTCAATCATGAAGAAAACCCAAATGTTTACCTGCAGAACGTACACATGGTATTAGTGAGGGTCCTTTTCAGGGTTTCAAGTACTTCAAAAGTCACATTTGCTACAAAAAAAATAATATAAAAAAAGTTTAATATAAAAATAAATATTTAAATTATACTTAAAAAAAAGACTGTTATTGAACATGTCTTTATTTATTTTTATTTTTTTCTAAGAAAAACATGAAAAAGTTCTAGGACCTTAAAATCTCTAGTTTCAAGTCTTATTTTGAGTCGATCATCTCTGGCCGGTGTTTCCGTCGTCAAATGACCATTCACTTATCGTCATTTATCTATTGACCGACCATCATTCTTATTGTTACTCCAAATTTCTAAATTCTTAATTTTAAATTTAAAATGTTGCATGAATGGTAAGGATTTCCCAAAATCCAATGCGAGGGAGGGGGCAAATATAGCGTCGCCCCTGATCTGGTGTGAATGGATTTTTTAAAAGAAATTTACGGAGGGGAGGGGACAGTAAACAGGAGGGTGGCGCCGCTTAGAATAATACTTTTTTTTAATTGTTCCTTTTGAAAAAAAAATATTTTTAATTTTTAAATAATTTTTTTAAAAAATATATAAACATATCATGTGTCATATAATTGTTGACAAATTATTATTTTTAACAGTCGTTACAACTTATACACTTGAAAAAGTAATATAAAAAATATTAGACATCTATTATGTGTAAAAAAATCTTTAAACATCTAAAATTTAACTTCATGTATAGTTTGAATACTTACTTTTTCATTAAACCAAATAAAAACATTTGAGAATTTACCCAATTGAGTTGTCAATGATGGTGAATAAAATTTAATTCGATTTAGATTTATTAATTTGACTAAAAAATCAAATAAAGTTTAAATAATAAAATATAACTCATCAATTTGACTAATTCGAATTTTTTAAATTTGAATTAACTCAACTAGCTAAAGGTATTATTGCAAAATTTTCTTTCATTCCATTGTTTCAGTTAATGTATGATACATCTGCCAAAGAACTTCCCAAAAATCTACCTTTTTCTCTTCTCTCTCTCTTTTTTTCACATTATGAAGACTGGTTTTAAATTTCAGGGCAATGGCAAACTTGTAAACAGACAACCAAACGACTGAAATGCAGTATGCACCAGTGCATACAGATGAAGACAATTCGCTTAAATGAGCTGGTATGTTGATTTTCATCGACAACCAAGGCTTCTCTGGGCAATGGAATCAACAAGCAATCTAGTCCAATTCATTACCGCATCAGATTTCCGGTTTAAAAACTTAACTAAATACTCGAAGATTTCTCGTTGGCATCTGAAATGTTGGAGTTTATTTCCCGATCAGTCTTTCCCCTCCAGAGTATAATCTGTTCATCCTTGAACAAAATAGGCATACAAGGAACCAAGTCCTACATTTACAGGAAAAGAAACAAACCGGAAATTCATAATGGATTAAAGATTATCAAAAGTTATAAAAATCTCGTAAATACCAGAAACAATGAGAAATAAATGTAATACCCTTAGCTTTACACCGATCCTTTTGCAGTCACTCGTACCGACATGAGTGCAGTCAAGTCTAATCACCTCTTCAGTCTCAAAGGCCTCCCGAACCCGGGCCACTACATTTACATACACTCCATTCCTTGCTGAAACATAAGATTGCACCATCAGTATTTACTCTAACAATCCATTTATTGTGTTATCGATGATTTTGCTAACAAGTGTCCGAGGGGCACTCTTTAAAGTTACCAATAATATAGTAATATCTTCGACCACTACATTGAAAATGATGAATATGATTGTTACCTGCTACGTTTAATTCAATATTCTGACTATAAATAGTATATCCAAGCTAGAAAACTCTCTTGGAAAAGGACTTACTGAGTTTCATAAGAGCAGGAGAGTGGAGTCCTCTATTTCTCATTTCCTTGGTTTCTTCAAAGGTTAGGCCATCGGCAACGTTCTTCACAAGCTTTGGATATATAGGAGCATAAGGCTTCCATAGCATAAGAGGTATAACCGGTCGATTCTTGTGATCATAGTTTCGACCCCTATACAAAATGAGGATATTTATGTGGCGGTAGATGATCTTCCCCCCAGATTTTTCCTATAGAGATACTACCATCGAGATCAGCTAATGGTAAATCCAAAAGAAATGAAATCACACCATCAAACGCTAATGGAGGCTGTTTTTAGTTCAAACCTCAAGTTGGAAGCAAACATTGTCCATATCAAGAGTTGGCACTCCCAAGCACTTTATCCTTACAGCTTCAGCTCTCTTCCAATGATTGTGAATGTCATCCAACATGTTGTGTGTGACCCCATTCTTCCCTAACACATAGCAATCAAACCTTCTCAAAATCTCATCTCCACCCTTCATTCCGATCTATGTTATTCAGATACGAGGATCCGTCTATATATCCGATTCAGGTACTTCTAATAAGTAGATGAAAAGTTGGACCAACATAAAGCTCCAACAACAAATAGGAGAAGGACTAATGCAGGAAGATATAGAAGAAACTATCGATCCGACACGAATACTTTTTAAACATATATAAAAATCCAGAACAATATGAAGCTCCAAAACAAAAAAAGAGAAAGCCTAATGATGACAGATATATAAGAAATACTTGCCACCTACCTACTTGACATTAAACTCAATGCTATAGTTATATCATATGAATTGATAAGGAATTATTCCCCCTACCAAAGAATCCTAAACGAAATCGAGGGATTTTCAACCCCAAAACTTGGAATTTACATGATTTTCAACCATTGGTGTGAGAGGGACGAAAAGGGTACTTTATATTTCACATTAAACTGTAACTATACGTCTTTTATTTATGCTTTTCAGCTTAATTTGATTTACAAAAGAAAAGCATCCATTTTTGTATTGAAAAAAAAAAACAGCCTATCAATTAAAGAAGAGATGAAAAACAAAATTACCCAGATTGATTTGCCGAGCACAATCGCTATGCCGATACTTTTCAACCAGTTCCCCAACTTCCTCCTCCGTAAGCGGGTCCCCAAGAACCCGAACCCTCTCCTCTTCAACCCGAGAACTATCAACTTCATCTCGGACCGGCGCTGAAGTCCCGGTCCATTCCCTATCGAGCCTGCCAGGTCCAAATGGAGAAAACCTCTTAGGCTCTCGGAACCCGATGGGTTCCAGACTCGGGTCGGATTCAGAGTACGAGTGCCTGAAGTCAAATGGGAGGCTTGATTTGATAGGAGAAGCAGGGTTCCGGTTCGGCTTTGGGTCGGGTGGCTTTGGTTTGAGTTTTGGAGGTTCAAGGGGTTTGGAAATAGGGGAAAATGAAGGATCGTAAGTGGTTTTGGAAACAAATTGGGACAAGAAGAAAGAAAGGGAAGGTCTTGGGAGGTTGGACAGTGGACGTGAAATGAGTTTTTGCATTGTTCTGGAACAAAAGAATTTGATTGCTAATGGCAGTTTATGATGTGGTTCTTGAAGAGGGTGATATTAAAACTAGGGTAAACTTCGTGTTTAGTACCTAAATTATAAGTTTTGGTTTGTTTTAGTATTTAAACATTCAATTTTTTAAAATCAAACCTAACATTTAGTTTTTGTTTCATTATAAAATCTCGCCGTTAAAAACTTAACGCATTTAATACATAAACTATTAGTTTTGATCTGATTTAGTACCTAAACTTTCAATTTTTTTAAAACTTAACTTAAGTTTTTAACGGGTGCTAAAATGAAACAAAAACTAGATGTTAAATATGGTTTTGAAAAAATTGAAAGTTTAGGTACTAAAATGGATCAAAACTAATAGTTTAGATACTAAAAGTGTAGTTTACCCTTAAAACTATCAATTCATAGAAGGGTATTTCAGTAATTCCAAATAGTTCATCACTATTTGCCTTTTTCATTTGTGCCCCCATTAGTTTTGGCTCTTTACACTAATGTCCCTTGCTAATTGCTATGTCTTGTGTAAATTAATTTGCAATTTTTTAATAGTGTGGAGTGATTACAAAAAAATATATGTTCAGAATCTTTTTTAGTTATTGATAATGAAAACACACCCTACAAACGTAAATATTCAAACCCGAAACTTTTAAAAAGAATAATTCTTTTTTTATTGAGTTTGCTCAATGAATTCAAATCAATTTACAATATTAGCTTAGTTTGATTCAGGATGATTCATCCTTATATGAAGTTCTTCACTGATAAATTATTGGGTACAATTACATATTATCCGAAATTGGATTGAATATAGAATATGATTATATGTTTAACATAAATATAAATATACTGAAATTTTTAACAGTTGTTTTATATATTTAAAGAATCATATTTTATTTTAATATTCACATATGAGAGTATGCATCAAACATAAATGTGGAACTAAACTTTTATGTCCCGGTAAATTTCTATGTAAATCCCAATTGAGTCTTATGTATACACTGACCATGTATTGGGAGAGCCACCCTGACCTAAACTTTTATGTACAAAAAAATACATAAATGTGGAACTAAAAGAGCTAAAATGGATTTAGAAACATTTCACCAAACAAGTACCAACAGACTGCAAAGTATAGTTCTTCCATATTTCAACAATATCACTGGAAAATTGATAAACACCGACTAATTGGTGTGAAACTATGTAAACTGATACATCAAAAATTAGATAGAAACATTCTTTAAAGCGTTTGCTCAGCCTTTCATCTTTCAAGCGCCTCTTATCCCCAGCCATCGACTCGAAAGCATCCAAGAGATTGTCCAATCCATCAACATTATCTCCTAAAGCCTTCAAAGTATATACAATGCTCTCAATGGTAGACAAACATCTTCCCTTTGGTTGATGCCTTATTTCACTGTACAAGCTTATTTATGGGAATAAATGGACCACAACAATTATAGACAATTCACACCTTCTGATTTGAGTGGAGAGTCACAACTAGTGGTTAGGCAACTATTAACCGGTATCTAAGGTTTATATCTCCATAAGGAGGCAGAGGAGGGATGAGTCAAGAAGAGGGTTCCAGATCTTTTCTTTTGATCTTGAGCTAGAGGTTTTATAGTAATCCTTACGCTGCTATCAGATGTAAAGTTATTTTGGTTATCTGTAGGTTAGTTGGCTAAGTGGATATGGTTTGCTGATAATATATTTTGATTTGGTAGGTCATGTGGGTCTGTCAGAGGTCATGTCGAAAGGTCAGTGTAAGACTCTAGAGGCTCTATGTCTGGAGATGATCTCTCTAGGTTCTTTGGAGGTTATGAGGTACAGAAAAGACCAAAGATTCAGAGATTTTCATGGGTCCTTCAATTCTCTCTAGGTTCTTTGGAGGTTATGAGGTACAGAAAAGACCAAAGATTCAGAGATTTTCATGGGTCCTTCAATTCTAAGGTGCAGAGGATTTTTGGAGTACGTACAACTTTTGTCCCTTTAGTCAAGGGAATGTCATAAAGTGGTTTGACCTCAGACTTGTGTGTTGAAATGTTGCTGGCATTTAATGGATTGTTTTAGGTTAAACATCACAATGATAATTCGTTGAACGGCTCGGAAGTTTAAATGTGCGACACTTAGTGCTTATCACAATGGAACAACGAGTTGTTTTGAGCGTTGGGGATGCGTTCTTTTGTTCAACTATTTAAGGAGGACTTGGATTAGCATCCGTACATCCTTTGTATCTTGCTATCGTATAGTTGCTTTCTCTCAATTGAGTTTTCTTTAATTTTCACTCAAATTTGCTTTCATGATGGTGAAGAATAGTATTCTAAAAGCTATTAAGAAAATGGAGAAGGTAAAGGTGAACCAACTACTCTTGATTAATGGCAGTACCTTCGAATGCAAAATTCATCGACTCGAGACCAAGATTATATTATTGAGTTCTGGTGTATTATGGGAGAACTATAAGTTTGAATTTACCATTTCCTTGGGTTTGTATAGCGTGACTGACTAAAGAGACCACACGATGAGTATCAAAAGCGATTTTATCTTTTTTTTTTATTCTCTTTAGAAGCTGAGTTTCATTTTCATGTGCATAATTTTGTGAAGGATGTGTGCCTTTGGTGGATGTAATAGTGTCGTGTCAATTTATCAAAGTCTCTTGGTGGATTCTCATAGGTAATTTTATTTTTTATCAGGAGAAAAAATGGGTGCCTTCTGTGGATGTATTGCAAAATATTTTTTTAAGCTCATTAGTTTGGCTCAGTAAGGTTTCGTGACGCTTTTATGCTTCAAGGGGAGCCTATTGTAAGTTGGAATCGAGTCTAGACCGTTCTCGATTTGACACAAAGTGACTCAAAAATTGTCTACAGGGTTTGATTTTCCTCTTTGATGGAGTATACTCGATCAATGGGTGAGGGCCTCTATTCTAAGATTAGGAAATGAGGAGCAAAAATAATTCGTATTGATATTATATATGCAGTACTGATAATTCGTACTAGTGTCGTTATTGAAAATATATTCGATATTTCACATTTAGCCTATGGGATCGATACTTTCTATTTTATTATAGATACCATAAGCACCAACTGGTCAAAATCTCAAATTGCTAAAAACTTCTTGAAATTTTCCTTAGACTATATGCAACATATATAGTATGTAATGACATACCAATAATGCAACATAACCTCAATTTCATACCAATAATGTAGCATAACCTCAATTTCATCAATGTTTCACTAAATTCATACACTTGAATATATTTACAACATGTAGATATTACTTACCATTCTTACATACCATTTACTTATACTTACAAACATAATCATGCTACTAAACATATTATCAAATACATCACATATAATATAGCATCATACATTATACCAAATAATAAAACAACAAGCCCACATAACACATAATACATCAAAATATCAATATGTTTATATAGTCACTATTCTAGAAGTTTTTAGCAAAGAATCTTTATATTAAAAAAATCAATGATAAATTGCAACCTTTAGATGTAATATTGATGCCTTGAAATCATTAAGCATACAAAATAAACTTTAATTATTTTACTAAATTTAATATAAATTACTGCAATGATATTTATAGATATCACTTTAATCAATATCATGGAGGTTTTTTTTCTTTAAATGTGATCATATTTTGCAATTAAAATAAATTATATTTGTGTGCCATTAGGTTTAGCATTAGTTGAAGCATCAAATCATATTTAACTAATAGAGCTTACGTGTTCATTTTTCTTGGCAATGACAGCATGATCTAGATTCAAATTTTCAGAGTTATTTTTTAAAATTATATATATATATATATTTGAAAATATAATTATTCTTCAGTTATTTTTTTAGAAAATAATTCATAAAAAGTGAAAAGGGTTTCTTAAAATATCTAAAATATAAAAAATTCTGAAACTATAAGGATTATTTTTTTCTTATTGCATTATGAGAATTTCACTCGAAAGAAACAAAAGTGAAATAGAATTTTATCTAAGTCGCAAGTTTAGAATATCAATATATACGTGGCAAAATACCATTGGTTATTGAAATTTTGAAACATGTGGGGGTCAGATTTTACTGCTCGATGATTGGTGCTGGTTGACCGTCTGACAAAGTTACAGATAAAGACACAAACACTTTTGCAAAAGATGTTAGATTTCAAAAGCGAGGAAGATTATATACGGTTTCGAAGGCGACATAACAAAAAGCACACCGATCTTCGTCTCAAAATCTGAAAACCTCGGTGGGTTTTGTTTTATTTTCTGTTTTCACATAGTGTAGCTTCAGTTTTTTTTTTTGAGTCATATTCAGTTCAATGAGTCATCTCCAAAGTTGCTGAGTTCATTTACTTTGTATATAAAGGGGTAAGCTTTTAACTTTCAGCTCTTTATGAACTTCTGTTGTGATTTTGGAATGATTTCTTGTGGTTGGAAAGGTCTATTATTATGTTGAATTACATGAAAGTTGGATGCTTTTTTATTTGTAATTTTTTTCTTCAAGATTTGACCCTATTTCTGCTTGATTCTTGATGGGATTTCCTTTTGGTTTATGATTTTGTGATGGGATTTGATGCAAAAAATTGAGAACTTGGTTAACCGTTTAAGGGTTTGATTCATAATCTGATGTGTCATATTCATATTTCAAGAACTGACCAGAAATTTTGATGGGGTAACACTCAATTCATTCTGATTACAAATGAAGTTTTGGATATGGAAAAATGTTGCAGATGTTGAGATTCAACCCTATAACCTATCTGTTCGTTAAAATTCTTCAATGGTTACTCAAGTATATGCTGATTTCATTTTTTTGATTCATTTTTGTTGATGGATGACAGGTTTTTTGAGTTCTTTCATTGAAATATCTAGCAAGAAACAGGCTTGAAAAGGCTTACAATAATCATATAATTGTGAAGGAAACATCAAACATGGTTCAGAAACTAGAAGCTATCAATGGCGGTGGTGGAGGATCAATCAAGGTGGGAACTAAAGGGACAATCAGTTCACTGATGACAAGGGAACTGGACTCCATTAAAACACCAAAGCAAACACCTGTATCTCTTAGACACAAGTCTCTGGCCACATCGGTTGCCAGTTCATCGCCGATTCCGAGACGATTACAGCAGAGGAAATTGTCGGATGGAGTCGGCACCAGCAGCGGTCGCAACGGCATGAGTTATAAAAGCCCCCAAAGTTCTGTTCAGAAGACACAAAGCTTTTCTAAAAACGTCCATCAGATGCCAATGCTTGGCTCTGAAAACGTTGCATTAGAAAGAACTCCCATCAGGCACAAAAGTGACAAAAAGTGTCCAACATTGTTGAAGTTGTGGACATAAAATGTAGGAATTCGGATCGAGCATGGGCGAGTCCTATAACAAATCGTCTGAAGAAGCTCGGATTCTCCAAGCTTTCCGAAAGCATTATCTAGACTTGAAACTTCTTCAAATCCGATTTCAGGTTCCTATATCCAAAACCCGAAACCCCGACCGGCCTATTTTCCCACCATTGAACAAATGCTTGCTACAAGCTTGCTCCCTCCTCCTTTCTTCTTCTTTTCAGCTGCCACAATTGGTCCAACAATAAATCTACAACGAGGCTTGTTCGAGCAATCCCAACAGTGTATCTCGAGTTCGAGCCGGCTGAAGTACTCGATCTCTCGCATTACCAAGGATCCCACAGTGCCTTTGATACCTATTTCAACAGGACGACGTGCAGCCATTTCAACTGCAACATTTTGGCCACTGCTTTGTTCTTGTTGTTTCCACTGGTTGTTTGGTCTTCAAATGCGTTCGATCTCTCTTTATTTAAATTGAACTACATTGAACGTTTAAGCTTCTAACTAACACTGCCTGTTTTCCTTCAACTACATCACATTGCTTTATCTTAATGTTGTTTGTTGCATGGTATTGTTAGTTACCTACTGCTGATAAGCATTGTATAAATGAACTACCAAGATTTTTTCACCGTACTGCTGCTTCTGTATTGGTTTTGAAATTAATACGGATGTGTTCAGTATTCATGGACGGATGCAGAAATTTATGCCGGGATACGAACTTAGAAGATTATATTAGAAATTTAGGAACAAAATTATAAAATTTCAAGGGTGAGACCGTACCTCCAACACCACATTCCTTTCAAATATGGTATGAAAATTTGAAGAAAGAACTTATTATTGGGGAAAAGTAGATGTCCATTAACGCCACGAGACAAGAAAACCGAAGTAACTGTTATGTCTTTAATGGCAAGGGTTTCTTAGAGATTATATAAGATACGGTTTGTTGTCATGGTCTTTGGAGTCGTGAATCTTGTACTGGCCGTGTATTAAAATTTAACAAAGTACATAGTGGATTACGTCATTTTAATTGCAGTTTTTATATGTTAAAAGTGAGGTCTTAAAACGGCAATACCTTATCGGTGTCATGGTCTTTGATGTTCTTTTATGAATAGAATTGTGAAGCAAAGTTAAGATTATGTTTACATATTTCAGACCGTGACGTCCAACCTAGTGAATGGTAGGGATTTACGGTCCCATGAGCAACTTATGTGCTTTTAAGGCACCCAGATAACTGTGTGATTGTTTTTTTATTTATTCATTTTGATTATACTTCCGGATATATAACTTTTTCCGGAGAGATAATTTCACAATCCCTTATCTGCTTTTCAAGATCCGTCCGGAAGTAAAGTAGGAGAGTCATTAAAGAAGATCATCAAAATCAATAACAAGACCACCCAGATTTTCTTACAAAGAAATCGACGCATCAGTCTCATATCAATCTATTTTATCATATTCGCTTACGAATAATAATGATGATCCTAAAGTAATTATATAAACTTCGATGACAAACAGAGAAAAATATCTCCTTTTCCTTCAAATACTTCTTAGAAAATTCATTTTAGTTCGCAACTCTCTCCTACATCTTTAACTTTAATCTTATTAATTATTAACCGATCAATCATCGACTACGACTCCCCATCCACGTCAAAATGAATGAATCATCCACCATCGAGGTAATCACTTAATTACCATCAACAATTTTGATTGTATATGACATGTTTAATCTAAATCATTTCCTACTATGTTTTCGTAATATAATTAGATTTAATTTACTAATCTAATGGCAGTTGACCTGTATGATTTTCTGAGTCTATTGACATAATGATTAGGTTTGAATCATATGTCCGAACTCTTCTGTCCTGAACCTAGAATAGGTAATAAATTAAATGGTGTAGTGATGGTTGGGTGAAGAGGGTCTGGAATGTTGAAAAAGTGGGGCAGAAAACCCTTGTTTCATGGATCATGTCTCTGACTTGTGGATGTGCCTAGGAATAAAGTGGATGGTCCTCAAATATAATTATTTGGTCCCAATCTTCCTGTTTCAATCGTCAACTAAACCTTATTTAGGTTTCTTCTTTAATGAAGCAAAACCAGAACCTATTGCAATTGAAATTGACACGTGGGTTTTCTTTTTATTATGTTGCCTATTGGGCAATTTTACTGCCTAACTTTTCGGAAATTTTACCCAAATATCATTCAAAAAAATTAGTAATTATAAAAAATACTCATTCTAATTAATTTTTCGATTTATCACTCATTTCTATTACGTGGTAAAAAAACGCGTTCTACAAAAAGAACGTCTTACAAAATGATATTCTAGTTAATAAAAACATTTTTTATAGAACGCGCCTTATGCATAAGTAATCATCTACTTGAAAGTTACTTTATGCAGAAAGTGTCACGTTGTATAATTTTAAAAAAATAATAATTAATATACATAGTAGAATCTAAAAATAAAATTCAAATATAACATAAAAAATATAATTCAAATATAACAATTAAATCTGAAATTTAATTCATAGATACCATAAAAATTTAGTGTTAAAATTAATATAATAATTAAAAAAATTCGAAGGTAATTTTTTTTACGAAGGTCCTTCTTCCAATTAAAATTTTACTATTATATTAGTTTTAATATAAATTGTTTATGCTATATTTGAATTAAATTTTAGATTTAAATGTTATCTTTAATGTTATATTTGAATTAAACTTTTTATGTTATATTTGAATTCTATTTTTAGATTTTATTTTGTAGATTTTAAAAAAAGAATTAATTAGAGAGACGCATTTTACATAAAGCACCTTTCAGGTGGACAACCACAAAAATAGATGTGTTCTGCATAAAGCAATGTAACATCAATAAAACGCTTTTTATAAAACGCGTCTTTTTGCCACGTAACAAAAATATGTGTTAGATAAAAAATTAACTAACAATGTGTATTATTTGTCTTTAATAATTTTTTGCTGATATTTTGATAAAAAAAAAACCCAATTTTACTCTCTTTTTGTCGGACCACCTTATCTTTGATGTGTTTTTTTAATCTAAATAACATCGCTTAAATTTTCTTTTTGAAAATAATATTTATTTATAAAATATATATTTAAATTTGTTTGTCAAGTGAAATAACCTCACACAAACTTTAGAAAAGTTTTTAATAAAATGTACATTTTCATTAAATAATGTTGCGTTGTTTAAGTGATTAAGATTTATATAGATAAGTTTTAGGTTAAAATCTTTTTGAGTTAATTGCAACATACATCTTTAAACTATGACTCTTATTTTAATTGATCCCTAAACTTTTAAATATTTTAATTTCATCCCTAAACTATGATTTATATTCTAAATTGGTCCCAAATTTTTTAACATTCCAAACTCACCCTCAAACTATGAATCTTATTCTAAATTAGTCCCCAAACTTTTGTACATGTCAATAATATCCCCCTAAATCATTTGAAACTTCAAAGTTGAAATCATAATATTTAAAAGCTTAGGGATCAATATAGAATGAGGGTTATAGTTTGGGGATGAATTTAATATGTTCAAAAGTTTGGGTACTAATTTAAATTAAAAGAATAATTTAAGGATGAAATTAGAATATTCAAAACTTTATGGCCCAATTTAAAATAAGGATCATATTTTAAGAACATATGATGCAGTTAACTCAATTTTTTACAAGTATATTTTTTTGGGTTCAAATCATGAGATAAATAGTTTTATTTATTCACATTAACTTAAAATATTCTTAGAAATATATAAAATCATGAAAAAAAGAACAAATAATACTTATGTCACACGTCATCATGTAGTTGATGCCCACTGCCCAGGCCTTGTTTTTCGGCCTAATGATCTGTTTTGTCTTCATTCCCTGTTCTAAAAAATTATCCATTCCAATTATGGATGGACATTTCGTTAAGAGTTCGACGGTTTTTACTCGATTAAATTTTATAAAATTGATTGTTTTTTTTAAAAAATTAATTTAAATTGAATCGAGTTTGAATTTAATTTTCAGGTAAAAATTAGTTAATTCGATCCGACTCAAAAATAATGACATAATTAAATTTTAATATTTAAAAATAATTATTATAATATCTCTCTGTCTATATTTTTTTTAATTAGGTATCTATTATACCTAATAAAAATGAAATATATATACTTGTGTTGGATCAAGTCGAGTATGATTTTTTATCTTAAAATCAAACTAGACTTTGGATCGGATAAATTTTTTCTAAATTTGAGTCGAACCGAATGATGAATGAAATATTGTTATATTCAAACTAGATTCGAATTGGCCAAAAATATCATTTGATATAACTCATGCTCATCCCTTAATTTCTGTATAGGTTTAATATTAATATATGTAATAAAAATAAAGATTTATACTATTTTTGGTATAGTACTATGTTCAATATAATAGGTTTATTATCAATAATATTTGGAGTATGTGATTAAAAATTATTAATTGATATTTTTATATCGATTATATTAAAATTTCTCTTCTCTCCTCTGAGTATTTTTTTTTTCAAAAAGAATTTTTTTTATCACATTTGCTCCCATTGGCCATTGCTTTTACGATAAACCAATCCACTTCAAAATAAATAAATAAATAAAAGCCCTAAAATTTAAAAATCTTGAAAATGGCCGCCGCATGCACTAGCACAGCCACTATCCGCCTTTCCAATCCCCTTTCATCTTCTTCTTCCTCCTCCCCACATTTCCATTCAATTTCAATAAATTTACATCTCCGCGGACACCAGTGAAGCTTTTTTCCATTAATTGTACGTTAAGCAGAGAATCAGTCACCGTTGCTCCGGTTTCAATGGAGTCAGATCCGACAGTATGGCAGCGTCCTGACTCGTTCGGTCGTTTCGGAAAATTTGGCGGGAAATATGTTCCCGAAACCTTAATGTCTGCTCTCTCTGACCTGGAAACTGCTTTTCATTCCCTCGCTAAAGATGATAAATTTCAGGTTAGTTCCGTCATTGATCCACCTTACACGTATTCATATGTGATTATTTAATGAATGCGTATTAGGGTTAGTTTGAATTTGGTATTTTGTGTGCTCTGTGTTGGAATTTGGGAAATGTCTGTTATTTTTCTAGGAATTTGGTTATTGGTTAGCAGAAGAAATTGTGCTGACTTTATAGATAGGATATGGAAATGATTATCTTTTCATTCTTACTTCAGTTACTTTGATTGCAACTTTTGACAATGACTTTTGCTTTCCTTAGGACATTTCTTGTTATAAAATTCAAATTTCTGTAGAATTACATCAAAAGCATTTTCACTTAAAAAAATGTAGGAAATGTAGTGAGCTTCTGAAGAATTTGAGCTTTGCAATAGCTCTTTTGCGAGAATTTTTGTTTTTAGAATTGGGAGTAGTGATTTACAAGAAAACTATTCATGATTTGCAGGAAGAACTAGCTGGGATTTTGAAAGACTATGTTGGTAGGGAAAGTCCGCTTTATTTCGCAGAGCGGCTGTCTGAGCATTACAAGCGTCCTAACAGTGAAGGGCCAGAAATATACCTTAAGAGGGAGGATCTTAACCACACTGGTGCTCACAAGATCAATAATGCTGTTGCTCAGGCATTGCTCGCTAAACGTTTGGGCAAGAAGCGGATTATTGCTGAAACGGGGGCTGGCCAGCATGGAGTTGCAACAGCTACTGTCTGTGCAAGGTTTGGTTTGCAGTGCGTCATTTACATGGGAGCTCAAGATATGGAAAGACAGGCACTTAATGTTTTCAGAATGCGGCTTCTTGGTGCGGAGGTAAGTATTATAGTGCAGATTCTTTATCACCTTTATCTTTGGATTGGTTGATTTGCCTTTTGTGTAGTTTGGTTTTAAATTGTATCTTTTGCCACCCAGGTTAGAGCAGTTCATTCAGGCACTGCAACGCTGAAGGACGCTACATCAGAAGCAATCCGGGATTGGGTGACCAACGTGGAGACAACTCATTATATTTTGGGGTCAGTTGCTGGTCCACATCCATACCCTATGATGGTCAGAGAGTTCCATGCAGTGATTGGTAAAGAAACAAGAAAACAGGCTCTGGAAAAATGGGGAGGGAAACCAGATATATTGATTGCATGTGTTGGTGGAGGTTCAAATGCTATGGGACTTTTCCATGAATTTGTTAACGACAAGGATGTTAGGTTGATTGGTGTAGAAGCTGCAGGGTTTGGTTTGGATAGCGGCAAGCATGCTGCTACTTTGACCAAGGGAGAAGTCGGAGTGTTGCATGGAGCTATGAGCTACTTATTACAGGATGAAGATGGACAAATAGTTGAACCTCATTCAATTAGCGCAGGGTTGGGATTTCATAATGAATTCATTCATTTCTATCTAGCTTGTTTTGTTTTATTTTAAATAACTTGGCAACTTTTTGTTGTGGCTATCAGCTTGGATTATCCCGGGGTTGGACCTGAACACAGTTTTCTGAAAGACGTAGGGCGTGCTGAGTACCACAGTGTCACAGACGAAGAAGCACTGGAAGGTATGGAACTACAGTGCAATTTGTTTCAAATGCTTCGTTATATCATATCTGATAGTAAGGTTACTACCCAAAGACCAAAGCGTATTCTTTCTAAATAAAATAGTTGTTCTTATAGGCACATTATTGCTGTTCAACCCTAAAACCTGTCTGCTGCTCCATATTAGAACATTGCTCATACCTTTGTTTGACTTTTTTAAGCTTAATAAAAAAGCATAAACCATAGGACCTAGGAAAGTTTCATATGGTGTAGAAACATATGCCATAGCCTTCAGTCTTTTTTCACCTAATCATCTCTTTGTTTCTTTAATTCTCTAATGCAGTCAGAATATCGACATTTTATTGTCAACAGTTCATTTTGATTGCTCTGTGATGGGCTGTTGATCTAACATATTTCCTTAAAAATGTTTCGACTGATTTTAACATTACATGTGAAATGTTCTTGAAGGCCGAAGCATTCTTGCATCCTTCTCTCCTTTTATTAAAGAGATTGATTATACGATCGGTCTTTAGATGGTGATTTATGGTTGCACTTTGCACATCCTAACATTTCCATCACACCTATTTTCATATACACGTTGGATATTTGCCTGCCTTTTCCCCCTTATATTTATGTCATTTGATTGCACGCTGGTGCTTGAGTTGATACATTTTATTCCACATTTCAGTCAGCTTTATCACTTATAGAACTATTTGTAACTGTTACCATTGGTTCTTACGGGTCATAATGCAGCATTCAAGCGATTATCTCGACTGGAGGGCATAATCCCAGCATTGGAGACGTCACATGCACTGGCTTACTTGGAGAAACTGTGTCCAATTCTACCAAATGGTACCAAAGTTGTGGTTAACTGCAGTGGCAGAGGAGATAAGGATGTTCAAACAGCAATTAAGCATTTGGAGGTGTAAGCTTTGATGTTGTTGTGGCTCTTTTTTTTCCCCATTAATTTTTCTTCACCCACCATGAAAATAAATTGCTCAGTCCCATGTTGTAAAAGAAATGCTTTCATGGTGTTTCACATTGTTCCTTAATAAGTATTACTTACTTTGTTTTACATGTATGAACACAATTACGGAAAATTTAAGACAGTTTATGTTTATATAATCCTCATTCTTCATTGGATATTTTATTTAATGAAGATATTTAAAGGTTTCTTTTTTATTTTAATCTTATTAAATTCAAGAAATAAACAAAAGGTAGAAAGGATTTTTAAGACCACCATGACGGAAATTCTAGCAAAAATAATGTAAAAATAAACAATTTGAGAATAATATTCGTTTTAAAACTATTTATGTAAATAGCACTCAAAGGAATTATTTAGGAAAGTGTCCTTTTGATAAAGGCTTGCAATGTAGGTCATGTTTTTTCAAAAGTCACATTTTGTAAGGTGTGATCTTGTTGATGTGGTAACATTCTCAGGTGTAGCTTTCACTGTTGGCAGCATTTAAGACCAAACTTAAAGAATTGAAAATAATGGGATAGAAGGTACAAAGAAAATTATACTAATTTTATATGAAAAAAATGAAACATGCATGTTACGTGTCTTCAGCAGGTAATTGTATTAACACAAACATGAGTATGTTAGGCAGCGATGATAGCACGTGTATAAGATTTATCTTCAACCACTTAATGAGTGTATGTTTAAAAAATTATATTTAATCACTTTAAGAAAATAAAACAAATATCTAAACAATATTAGATTTGATAATCTTATGACTAAAACTTATTAATTTAAGTTGTCAAAGATATGTCTCGAATTTGATCAGATCTATATGAGCATCACAATCAAAGATTATTGTTATCTTTTAAAATACTCATGATTTTAGTATCTAAAGGTGTCTGATTGTTGTACTGATATGGATCTGATCAGTTCAAGACTTGTATTTGATAACTTAAAATCATTAAGTTTTGATCATAAGATTTTTAAATCTCATATTTGTTTTAGATATGAATTTATTTTTTTAAATGTTTAAATATAACATTTTAAACAAACACTTTTTGAGAAATTAAAGATAAGCACTATATACACATACTGTCGTCGCGTCCTAATGTGCTCGTGCTTGTATAATAAAGATCTCTAATGCACGTGTTTTATTTTTCCTGATAAAATTATATAATTTTTTTAAAACATTTTTGTCCATTATTTTCACTTGTTTCAGTTTGGTCCTTAATGTTATTAATGTTGGAGCTAGGTTCGGAAATGTTGCCACATTATGAATAAAATAAATTGAAATGTGAGATTATACTTATAATGAATCTATGAAGTATTTGATTCTAATTAATCAAATGATTTGAATACCGATGATTATAAAAAAATTCTAGTAAAAATAATGAAAAATAAAAAACACTTTTATTGGCAAAACAAATAAAAATAAAACTTTATATTCGATTATACATTTAAGCAATTTCAATTATTCCATTGATTTTTTTACAAGAAATGAAAAATTGACAAATAATTTTAGAGTGATTCAATTTTCTCTATGAAATCTGCATCTATTACCTTAACTTTAAACTTCAAAGCAATATATATTGAAAAATGTTGACTTGAATTTGTTTGGTTCTATTTGATTGCTTACTGTTTTATCAAATCAATAAGCAATATCGGTACCGCCTTGATTAGTATTTGTACTACTATATATTTTTAAACTTTTAACATCGACACTTATTGATATCACATGAACAATATTAATATTATTTTGTAGTATCAATACCATTATGCTCAAAAATATTTTTTGTTCGCTTAAAATTCGAAACTCTTGGAAAATTTGTTCCAAACTTATTTTGACTTAATTTTTCAAGAAAGTAAAGAGTAAAAAGGAGTTTTTAACTCTAGAAAAAAGTTTTTATATGCAAATAATCGAATCAAATATAATCATAAAATTTGTTAAAATTATTAATAAATTTTTGTATATCAAAATATCAAAGTATGTTCAACACAATGAAGTAAACAAACATCAATGTTCTCTTTGTTTTCATTCATGTCAGCAATGACATAACTAATCCACCGTATGAATTGTTTATTTATCATCATCATTATTAAGTATATCTACACCATGACCAAAATCCAGCATCAATCTAATGCTAAAGAACATTAAAAACATGCACTCATCTGAGCCAACTTTCTTCAGATGATGTTTGCTTTTTCTCATCGTCTATGATACATCAAAATTCTCGAAACCCATTTTTCCTCATGCTTTTGCCTGCAAAAACAGAAACAGGCATGAATACATATATCGGATCTTGATCATCCTCGATACAAACTTCTATATAAGAATTTAAGAGTGACTCGTACTACTATTTACTACGAAATATGAACATCTTGGACTAAGGAACAAGGCATAAACTATGCATGAGCTTGCAGGATGACACGCATGGTATGGTCGACACTGGTTAATCGAAACCTCCTACCACCAAAGATGTCAACTATCATATTGGAACTTAGTACCAGCATACCCCGAAGTCAACATTAATGACTTATTTTCTTTTCTTTTACAACTAACTACAGCACCCCATAGGTTGCTCATAAAATTGGCAAGTCATTCAACTCTCTATAGAAGAACTCAATTATCAAATTCAAAAGATATATCAAACCTCAAAATCTTATATGATGCACTGAGTAGGCCTTAAAAGATTGTCCAACAAACTGATCCAAGACACGAAAGACCAAATACATTCGGGATTTTGATCCACCGTTACTATATCCTGTACAATGGTGGAAAAACCTAGAAGACTACATGATTCGCAGCTAAATTAGTACTCGTGAAATCTTACATGTAGTTCTTCTTAAGATGACATTCCATAGACTTGTTCATTATGGAAATTGTCCTCCGAAACTAACATAAAAAAGTCACATGTGAACAATCCATATGAATGGTATATCCATATACATGTCAGCTAATTAGAACTGATAATAGTCCTGCAGAAAGAACAGGTTTCTAGAACGTAAAACTGCCATAAAATCATTAACAAGCATGCACAGTAAATAGTTACAAGATCACTAACCTGGGAATACAAGAAGGTTCCGAGGACAGCGATGGCAGCTCCAAGAGCATTGACGGGCTGCACCGGCGTGTGGAAGATGATGATGGAGGAGACTATAACAGATATACGTTTCATGGTGTTCCCGATGCTAAATGTCAAGGGAGAAATCTCATCAAGTGACATGTAGGAGACTTGATTGTAGAGATGATAGAAAACACTCTGGGCCGCCACCCACCTTTCAAATACAATAAAACCAACATAATTCTGTTAGTGGATGGGAAGAAGTAAAATATCACCTATCATTAATATTTCATTATTTACATTTCAATCAATAAGTAGAATGTAATGGTTCAAAATTCATACAAGAAAAGAAACAATATGTTTTATCGATTTTCAAGATTAACTTCTAATGAGGTTGCTGGGCGAAGGAAAAGGAGAAAAATGAAGAGAAAGCTAATAGAAGTTTAGTTCAGGTTGTACGTGGTTTTTGAAGCATTCCTCGTAAAATTCACTAAACATTAATCAAACTCGATTAATAAATCAACGAAAGAAATCAGCTCTTGAAAAGGAGCACCAAAATCAAGACCCACACACACGTCAACAAAGTACAACAGAATTTGGAACGACACTTCATCATTGTAGTTCAGAATAAAAAGTCATAGAGATCACAAAGTGAAAATAAATAGACTGTAACACTTTCATAGTCTCTTACTTGGTCATATAGGTAGGTGATGGGGCATCGAAGACATTCTACTTAGCAGAATCCTAACTAGTAAACAAATTCCGATAAGTTTACTCAAGGCATTCAAAGTATCTGCCAGAGTCGAACATATAAATCTAAAAAATATTAAACAGATGGAAACCAAACGAGCATTTAAAACCTAGTACTTCAAGTTATTACCAGACAAACTGTGGTCCTATTTCAGATAAGGCCTTTTTCCATCCTGCTGCCCACATCTGCGGTCCCTCTACAGCCACTGCGAAAGGTGTGAGAATTAAGAGAGACAACAGAGATAGACAAGCGTAGTAGTTCATTCCGCTAACAGATTTCCCCTTCATGCCCTTCTTCGAGAATATGTTACGTAAGACAAATGCGAAGTTTGAGATCATAGCTCCCATAAAACCTGAATACACAGTGAACAACAAGGTTCAGCACTCTGAATAACTTTCAGGGAAAATCGATTAAAATAAAAATCCCAATGCCATTCCGGCTCCTCAAGCAAAATATATATGCAAAAATCCAAACCCGATAACAAGTAACAACAACATGGTAACACATTTGAAAATTTAAAAGAACTGAAAACAAGGACCATTTATGGAACCTTCTTTGGTTTGGTTGTTAAGAAAACCGAGGAAAAACAAATTTTAAACAAATGGAGTTTGCCAAGGTTCAAATAGTAGAGCATTCACTTCATATAGACATAAAATTAGGGAGGGTTGGTTTACCGGAACTCTTGAAAATGTAAAAGTAACAACTCAGCATTGACATTCAAGAGATTATTATTAATTTTACCAGTCATATTGAAGTTGAGTTCGGTAACTGCTGCAAGAGCGCAACCACCGATGATCGGAACAAGGGACAAGTAAACAGATGGAGGAAAGGTCTCTCCGAGCAAGAACCTGGAAACCAAAACACTGAAAGCAGGTTCACCACTCTTGATGATGTGGGTGAATGAAACTGCAACCTTAGACATGCTCACAGTTGCTGCTACATGTCCAATTGTATGTGCCACAGCAACCTACCAAAAAAAAAACATAAATGAACAAAAAAGAAGAGTAAATCCAGAAATATTACTGTAATACATCAAACAGTCATTTTATTTTATTTCATCAAAAGTTTAAATTTAAGATAAGATGCATTTTCCTTCATTTTCTTAGCAATCAGACAAACAGTAATTTTTTTAAAGCCTCAAACAAAGGACATCTGCTCTTGTAACTTTTTTCCTTCCAACAGTACAAACAGCATAAAAATACAATGAAATTTAATCATACAGAAAATCTTTCTACTTTTTCTCACTTTCTCGGCAACCAAACAAAAACATTATCAGATTTTATTTCATATTGGATAAAGTCTTCCAAAACTAAAAAACTGTTTTTGAATTGTTAATGAATAATACCAAATTTTATTTTATTCCATCAGATTTTTCTTTTTTAAATTTAAGATAAGATGCATTATACCAAAATTTAGTTTCTCTTTCATTTTCCTTCATTTTCTCAGGAATCAGACAAACAGCAATTTTCTTAAAACCAAATACATGCCATCTGCACTTTTAACTTTTTCCTCCCTACAGTCCAAACAACATAACAAAACATGATCCTAGAATTAAACTTATTCAGAATCAAAACCTAACAGCAGAAATTTCTTTTTCTCTCACTTTTTCAGCAACCAAACAATTTTTTTCCTCCCTACAGTCCAGACAACATAACAAAACATGATCCTAGAATTAAACTTATTCAGAATCAAAACCTAACAACGAAACTTTTTTTTCTCTCTTACTTTCTCAGCCACCAAAAAAAAAGAGGGGAAAAAACTCACCGGAAACAAAGTCTTCCAAAACTCAAAATCTGTCTTCGGGGTCTCAGCAATCCTTGTTGCCCATGAAATTAACATCATCAAAGAACCACAGGCAAGAGACAACGTTGAAGTCAACCAAGGGTAAGGGTAAGGGTAAGCATTCAAAACCTTCTTGTTATATATATTGAAAACCACATTCAAAGCCCACCAAGTTGCAAAATAAATCCCAATTTTCACCCTTTTTGCAGCTTCGGATTTCACTTCAACAGCAGCTGCCTCAATAGGCTGTGACTTGTCAGCTTCATAAGCCTTGCACTGGAAGACTGGCCTTTTCCCCTTATCAATACTCTCGATGGATGAAATATGCAAGGGCTTCGACACTGAAAGATTGGTTCTTTCGGGCTTGTTTCCAAGGTTCAAAGATGGTGAAAAGGAAGATCTACAAATTGTTAAAGGTGATCTTCTGTGAAGACCAAAATTTGTGACATTCATGCAGGTACCTAAACCTGATCGCTTAATGGTAAAACTCATTTTTTATTCAAGCTATTTGATCCAAACTCGAATTGTGTATGGAGAAATTTTTCGAAAAGAATTCTGGGAAATTCTTATGCAACCTGGTGTTTCTTAAAACCTTGGAGAGGATCAAAAAAAGACAAATAAAATTTCAAAACCTGGCTTCAAACAATGTTACCGACAATCACGAAAATACCTAGTAATCCACGAATTTATTTTTATTTTATTTTATTAAAAAAATATATCTATTTTCTCTTATCATTTGGAAAGTTTTCATATTTTAAAGGCCAAGATTTAAGCAACTTTAATAAGTTTGTATAAAAGACATTAATATATTAAAATCATATCTCTATTATTATAAAAGCTTTAATTAAGTTAAAATTATACATTAATTAAGTATCGATTTAATTAGTAAAAAATAAGAAAAAATCAAAAATAATATTTTTATATAATTTTTAAATAAAATAAATGTTACTATTTAAAAAGTATTTTTATTCACGGATGAAATTGAATTTATTTCGATTTATGAAATTATTTAGAAAACATTTTCAAAGTTGTTGGGTTTGGGTGTTGTTGGTAGATAGACGCCATTCTCGGTTGCTTCAAATTAAATGTGCCAACTACAACACCAACCCACCCAAGTTCAAATCCGATTAAATTAAATTAAATTAATATCGTTAGTCTTCAAGTCAAGTTTAACACATCTTCAACAATTGCTTAATTCTAGAAAGGTTAATGGCCGGACTACTTCGTGGGAGAGTTCTTCTGTGCGGTAGGTTAGAATACTGTTGAAAAAATTTAAAAATAAATATGATCTAAAATGTTTTTATCCACACCATCTTATGCTGGATATTGTGTTAATATTTGCCTGTAAATTTTTTCATGCTTCATTCTTCAAGATGCCTTAATGTTTTTCCTCAGCGGCATATACCATTTAGAGTTTGGTCCATATGACTAAATTTGTTTTTTCTGTTTTCGGAACAGGTTAAATATAACAAAAACCATCCGGAAGTTTTCAATAGATCAACATTTAAGACCCACTGGTGCAGAGTTTCAGTCTGGACCTGTTCCACATTATATTAAGCATGGAGACGAAGTTGATGAAGAAACTGTTGAGGGTTCTGTACCATTAAATGGTGTTAGCTTTGACAAACTTTCACATCAGTAAGCGGATCAATTTGAAGTTTCAAGCTATTTAACTTTTTGGGTATTATGTCCCGACTTGGATATTCCTTTGGTAATTGCCAATTTTGGTGAAACCTCTATTTTTTCAGGTATCCTATTTTAATTGTCAATTTTTATGCTCCTTGGTGCTACTGGAGTACTCGCCTGGTAATTTACTATTAGCATGTGTGATCTTTTGACTTGCTAAATCAGTATTGTATATAACTCTCAGCCTTGTAAAGTGGTCATTATACACACCTTGTGTTATACTGATATTGTTTCCAAATCTCCTATTAGTAGTAATCAATTTTTATGACTTATGAATTGTCTGTCCAACTCAGTTGGTAGAGCACAAGGCTCTTAACCTTGGGGTCGTGGGGTTGAATCCCACGGTGGGTATGATGAATGAGGGCAGCCTACTATCCTACTCCCCTTACCCCATTACATATGGGAATAAGGGTCAGCTAATTAATTAATTTTTATGACTTATGTACTTCATTTATATTTTAATAACCCTTTTTTCTTTTGGACTGTCGAACATTTTAGTAACTCTCTAATATACTCTGTGATGTGATATTTGAAGCAAGTGCATGTTTGTTTACTTATTCTAAAAAACAGTACCTAGAAATAATTATACCCTTGCCTCGCCCTGTTACTTTTTCCGCTTCAGAGACCTTCATGGGAGAAAACTGCCAACATAATAAAGGAGAGGTCTGAGGATACATCATCTTCTACGGAATAGGTTTATAAACAGTTTATTGATTTGGCATGACTTTGGCACCCTTGCTTTTTACAGATATGATCCGGAATCGGATGGGCGTATTCTTTTGGCCAAGGTTGATTGCACTGTAGAAGTTGACTTGTGTAAGAGGTATTTCTTTGTTTGATGTTTTTTCAAATGTTATTGAATGCTAACTTGTTTGAGAATATGATTATCATTATTTGACCTATTAACTCCATTGTTGTGTTTCGATCGTTTTGATGTTGCAGATTGATCAATATTTATCACTTCACATATTTAAATGTGTTTTCTTGCTTATATTATAGAATTGTTTCTCAAATGTTGCATATTTCTCATAACTTTACCGCAAATTTAATCTTCTCCCTTTTGTGCTTTCTTCCTATAGGCACCATATTCAAGGGTATCCATCCATTCGCATTTTTCGTAAAGGCAGTGATCTGAGGTAGAAGGAATTATTTCATCCGTTCTTTGAATCTTCCTCACTCTGCCTTTTCTTTATGTTGCTTGTTACTTAACAATAGTATATTCCAATATGTTAAGCTCATTTATGTACTATGTTCTCAGGCATATGTCTAACCCTCCACTTTTGTTTGACCACCAGATAGGGGATTATTACTTTCTTCTAGGCTAATTAGTGCTGCAGAAACTTATGTATATGTGCAATGCAGATTTACCTTGTTCTTGCATGCGTTTCAGGGAGGATCATGGACATCATGAACATGAATCTTATTATGGAGATCGTGATACAGAAACTCTGGTTAAGGAACACAACTAAGCAAGTCTTGAAATGGCTATTTAACTTTACGAATCATTTATACATGACCTTATTTTAGTGTCTTCTAGGCGATGGAAGATTTGGTTGCTTCTGTTCCACAGGAAAACCAGAGGCTAGCTTTAGAGGATAAATCCAATCTAACTAAACTACCGGCACCAATGACTGGTGGATGCAGAATTGAAGGATACGTGTGTGTAAAGAAGGTAATACGTAGGATACTAAGACTGTCCTTCAGATTTATTTACGTGTAATTATTTTGTTCAATCATTTATGTTTACCATTGAGATAAATGAGCTGTAGAAATGTAGTTATATCCCAAGTTATTCAGACTGGTGTGAGTGTTGGATATGGTATGTGTCTGACATGGGTATCGTTAGATTTTCCTAACCTTTTCCATGTATTTGGAGGATCTTTGGAGATTATATCCCCATATCCTGCATTGGATGGGGGTACTTTGACAAAATTAAGAGTTGGAGCAACATAGGTTATATGATACCTTTGATCTGAAAGTTTGCCAATTCAGAGCTGTTATTCTTCATATATCTTAACGTATTAAGTGACTTGCACTTTGCAGGTTCCCGGCGACCTTATCATCTCTGCTCGTTCACGCGTCCATTCTTTTGATTCTTCTAAAATGAACATGTCTTATGTCATAAGCCATCTTTCGTCTGGTAAAACGATTTCGCCTTGGTTAGTGATGCAAAGCGATTAATACCTCATCTTGGTAGAAGCCATGACAGGTTGAATGGTCGGTCATTTATTAATCACCGGGATTTAGATGCAAATGTTACTGTAAGTTCTTTTATACGGGCCTTTCTGTTCAATTGCTTATTTTATATCTTACGTGCATTTTGTTGTCCATGGACATCTTATACGCACCTTTTCAAAGCAATCGAGTAAGATATGCTTCGACCTTAGTTGAGAATAAAGAATATTCTGTTCTAAGAAATGATTGTAACTAATTCCTGATAATTGGTGATGCGAGTGGCGTCTATACTAATTACCTTGCATTTTTCAGATAGAGCATTACCTTCGAATAGTCAAAACAGAGGTGGTTACAAGAAAATCTTCTCGGCAACATACGTTAATACAGAGTAAACCGCACACAGTAGTCTAGCACCGCGCATGTACATACCGATTGTAAAATTTCATTTCATCTCCAATGCAGGCTATTCTCTGCATAATTATTTTTCATAAGCTTTTACTTTACATCCTCCTTGTTTTTCATTAGTTCATTGGGTTTTCGTTTTTCTTTTCAGTCGAGATCTCACCGATAAACTATAACGATCATCCTCTTTTTCCTAAAAAACCGAAACAAACATTCTCACCTCCTCCCCTCTCTCCCCAAACCTACCAAAACCCACCCACCCCCTCTGATCGCTCCATGTTAAAGAAGCCAGAGGGGGCACACGACAGAGAGAAGGGAAGTGAGGAGGAGGACATCGCGAGCAACACTGCTTGTCCCCTTAACGAGGAATCTCCTCTCTCACGTGCACTGAGGAAATCGTGAACAGCGTTGTTTTGTGTCATGTTATGGCCAACCCCTCTATCCAGCTTTACTACGCTTAAGGGGCCCGGCCATGTGTTGGAGGAAGTACCTTGTTACCTGCGAGGAACTGCACTAGGAACGATGCCAACATAACTGCTACAACGGTTACATCAACGCCTCACAAGCATCAACGAGCCTCACCTAACTTAAGTGCTCGATAAAACCTAATCTAGGGATAACATGTAACATTCTAAAATTAATGCATGAAAGCACTTATGGTATCTTCGCTCGAGTGCTTAATCTCCTAGAGCGTTCCCATTATCCTTCATCATGGTGCCATGATGTTGTGTTGTATCTATTGTGTTGTCATAACAAGGATGCCCCTAATCTTAAGTTAAAAGAGTATCGAGCTACCTTTACTCAGAGTGTTGGGTTGCCTCCACTCACTAGACGAGATGAGATGCCTCCAAACACGAGAGAAGCCTCAACTCATGTACTATAAAATCATTTACCTTCGTGTGTATTGACTGTTAGTTGCTGTTGAGTAATCAAGAAAAGTTTAAGAATTGGCACAGATGATTTTATTCAATCATGAAAAGAGCTAATTACAACCTCACATTTCTACATCTTATATAGCAGTATTACAAAAATTAAACTGGTTAACAATATTCCTTAACAACATTCTGTTATACTAACCGACTAGCTTCTAGACTCTTATTATTTCTAGAACTATCTCAACCATATCATGCACGAGCATGCCCGAGATTGCTGCATACATATGCAATGCCTCAACATTCCCCCTACTTCTTCTTCTCTTCTGTTCTTCTGACTTTGAACACACTATTACAGCAAGCTCTAAAAACTAATTACAACTAATTTCTAACATTCAACATTCTTGATGAAAAGATGAACAATTGAATCGAAAGTGCGGATGCTTCCTTTCGTTCACTTGAATCGAAAGTACGGATGCT